CTGGTATATATCTGTTATGTCGTGTAGGTTGAACGCTTTATTCGGATCCTAGATATTCGGATAACCCCAGGCTAGCACTACTCAGCGACTTGAAAGACCAAAGAGAAGACACGAGTATCAGAGAAGATGCTTTATTGCAAGGTTCATTATGTACAGAAAAAACAGGGGTTTTATAGTAATTAAAAGACCTTGAGATTCCATAGTAGCAGTATGTTTAACAGCCAATCAGGACCTCATTATTTTAGTAGCATTTTAGTAGCATAGCTTCTAACTAATCGCTGATTGGTTGGGCTCTTTATGAGCCTCTCTGGAGGCTCTGATAGAGTTTTTTGTAAGCCGACCTAACAATATCATTGATTGTATCCCAAATCTAATCCGTTGTAAACATTGTTTCCTTTGGTGTTCACGTTTTTCTTTATTCGAATCGTCTATCCCAGCAGAACCAGCAGCTATTGACTAGGATCTGTCCAACGCAATACTGTTACCATTTTGTTCTTGTGTAAAGAGACATAAAATGTATTTTTATAACCAGAAAATAGAGGATGGATTCTCTGTAATTTGGGCCATTAAAGACGGGTTAATTAAATACAACATACCTCAACGGTTATAACTTCCATATTCTAACCTAGACCTTAATTAACTTTACCCATCGATATTTAAAAAATAAGATAATATAATTCCCATGATTACTTGGAACCACAGATTACTCGTAACACATCTCCTTATATTTATTTAAACGATAGGGAACTTGACATTCTGTTTTGTGAAGAAACTAGTACTTCCAAACGAAGCATTTATATACATGCTTCCTAAAATTATTCAATTGATATTGTGTTGTAATGTATGGTGTTATTTTAAGAAAGTTATAGATGTCAACAAATAATCTTCTACTTTTCTTTATCCAGTTATTTAATTCGTGATATACGCCGAATGGAAAGTTCATCTTGGAAAGAAGATATGATTGGAATCAGTCTAGAAATAGCAGATCAATTATGTGATACAATTGTAGAGCATTATACAGAAAAACTAATACCACAAAGTGTAAATTCAACCTAAGAAACTTCCTTAACTTTTCTTAAAACTATCAATAGCTTATGTAAATAGTATTATGTGTTCAATCATTTCTACCGACTTATCTGTCATACAAATTTGTAAATTGTTAAACACTATATCTATACACTATATTTGTTTTTCATAATCAGAGGGGTTGATTCATTCAGTGAACTATACATTAGACTACTAACGTTTATTTGACTACTTCACCTAATATAATCTATCCTCTTCAACTTAAATGATTGGACAATATTGTCAGTCATCTCATGACAGTCAGTCAGCTGCAACGTAGGACCAGGTACATATATGCATTGGTCCAAGTTGCCATGCCTCGTTAGCACAACAAGATGAATACCGGATTCATAGAAGTAGTTAATTAAGTGGTGGTAATATATAAAAGAAAGGTTGTATATAAGGATATAGTATAGGAAGGAAGACAGATATGAAGCAATTTTAATCTGAAGAATTAAGGGAATATAAAGAGTGTATACACCTGCGCCATTGTGATCGATTCTGAGCCATGTCACCCAGAGTCTCCAACCATTGATTACGATAGTCGCGCGGTCACGGCTCAGACCAGAAGTTAGTGACTTCAAGCTTTGTTGTCACGTTTTGGTTTGGCTGCCCCTAACTTTCTCCCAATTATCCCCAATACTAGTCAGCATATCGCGTCGTGGTAATCGGTGTTCAAGCATACGTAACACGTGGACCAACCATCTCAGTCGATGAAGATTCATGACCTCATCTCATGACACATGTAAGTTTTAGAATTCCTAATATTGAGCTTCGAAAATTCATTTTAAGTTAGTCATCTTTACAACTTAATGTCAGCTAGAAAACCAGCTAAAATAAGATGTAGCTCTATATATGCTCCTTTCTAACTTCAAGTTTCTCATTTATAAGCACCTCACTGAATTATTTGGAATCGAAATTAGGAATTCTAGGTTGAATGATTATCAGAATAATTTTAAGTTGTTTAAATTATATATTGTAGTTCACATCCTCAATTTCATCACAATGACCATCTGATTTCATCAATGATACATGTATCACTTCCGTTATATTTGGATTCTATTTTTTACCAGTTCGTACTCGGACTTCTGTAATCCATCTGGAATTTCGTTACTAATATGAGTTAATAGCTATAAATCATCTAGGTATACACTATAGAATAGTTATTACGTTGGACACATTCATCACATTTTGGAGGTGATATTCAAAAATACAACAGATGAAAAAGAAAATCAATATTGGGATTTGCGTATCATTTTTAAGGTGATTTCCTTACAGTCAACATTCAACACAATTTAGTCGTATTATTCATATTCGATTCCGTCCATTAACCCCAAGTGTGTTTTTCAATGTATTTTGTCTTGTATTAATTAATTCACTGTAACTCTGTATTGTATCATAATTGACTCAGTTAATACAATTCTATAGTTAATAATTATTATATAATTGATATATAATCGAACTATCTTGAGTTTTTATTGACAACAAAGCAGCGAATTATCGATTGGAACAGTGACACACGAAAATCATATTAGTAGTCTTGAGTACTTATCGGTGCTGCTTCTGCTTAGCCCAGTTAGTTAAGTTCAGAACAGCCCCTGCGGTATGAATCATTATATATCAATCATACTGAGTTTATATACCAATCAAACTGACCGCATCGTACCACATATGTACAAGATTTAGCTAAATGTGGCTGTGAATAGGGGAGATAGTGAATAATAGACAGAGCATAATTCAGGAATGGTAAATCGAATAACAATAGTTTATAGTTCAGAATAAAGCTTATAATAAGAGGGACACGAATATGAATAGTTTAGTTATTTAGCGAGTATAAGATAAAAATTTATGCATAATGTTGGCCCATAAATGGTTCTCAAAAGTTACCATTCATAATTCTCTTCAGGATACAACAGTTATCCTGTTAATTTGTTATTAAACGATAGCTTGTAAACAGGTAATAGATTTTATGGAACGGGCTGCTAAAAACTTCATTTAGTCAGTCAGTACACACAGTAACGAGTCATTTTGATGATATGGAAAACAATTATACTGTACCTATTATTTCTACTTTGAAACTCTATATATCTGAGCAAAGATATTCGGTGGATCAATGAGACCATAAACCTTCCCTGACCTTAATTTGAGTATATGTCAAGCATATTCAGCCGCAATCTGTCCAGATGACTGACATTGTCTGGCATACAAATAGATTTTAAAAAAATCCAAATGCATTTATTGACTGCTGATTTGAACCATGTTTGGAGATGTAAATTCCCTGGTTACAGATACCCTAAAGTTTTGAGCTTGATATAATTTTTCGGTAATTTATTTATTATGCCTAATTTTCCACTAGTTAAATATTTTGCATGTTTTTTATATTGTCAATTCTCTACCGCGTTGGGTCAACTTAAACTGTGATAGACTGACTCGATATACATTCTTGCATTATCAACAACTATGCAACCACACTATCATACGATTACTCAAAATCCTGTCTTTTAAAGTTACCTTCACTAATTTTGATCCTGACTACTGACTTACGGTCTAGTTATGAACGAAAACAGTGTACCCGCGTTATTTTGAACTGTGAATGTTTGGATACAAAACGTTGTTACTTCATCGGTAGAAGTACACTTCAGGGACGACTCAATCAGAAATCGAGGAATTGACGTCAGTGTGCAAAATTTAACACACATCAACCATTAAACAATCTGTTCGACATTGGTTAAAACATTTGAAATAATAACGAGAATTTATTACCTCTCATCATACAGTGAAATGATGATGTTTAATTTATCAAATGTCTAATTGTGTTCCTACACACTATACATAATAGAAAAATCGACACTATTCTCAAATACTAATTCTAAACCCTTAATTGTAAAGGAAACCTTAAACTGATGGTACTACATTTTATAGAAAAACGAATCAGTTATCACCTCTCATAATTTTCAGTGAATTTCATTGATTATTATGACTTTGAAATACTGTAAGATTCTAGTTAATGTCATTTTGTGATGAAAATCCTATTCGTAATTAGGAGCTATGTAGGTACTCTTCAAAGTGTTTTTATGTCTTTTTAAGGATTCGAGAATATGAACAATGCTCATCCATTTGGGAAAGTTTATATGTTGTTGTTCTTTCAATTTATGATCAGAGTAACATTAATAGATTAGCAACTTCTGCATAATTTATTAGCACTTTAAAATATTATTGCTTTATTTCCCACAGACTCTCCGTTTATAAAATCTGTTTTCTGATTGGCTAGGAAGTCTGATAATTTGTCGTAGTTATTCTAAGCTCATCACTATACTATACTATGTTCCTGTTTCGTTGAATAGCTATCTAATCTATATTATTTGGTACTTAAATTTAAAATTCTGCTTCCAGGTTTTTTATGGTCGTCTAGCTTCAATTGACTCAGCCCCCAAAATGCCCTGGTACGGCCGAGAGTGGGGAGAGTCCGCTCTCCCTCTCCAAATGCTCTCACATGGCAACACGTATGCAGCCTCTGCCAGAGAAGTCCTACTCACTGCCTTTTCGTGACATTACTGTTGTTTACGAAATTGAGAGGACAAAAAGCGAATGTCTGGCGCTTTAACCGGGTTGGTGGACACAGAGGGTCCACCTAGGGGAGTTAGAAAACCCTGATTTCAAACCAACGGTGTACATGGGCTCCAGTATCCTGAGGGAAAAATGGCGTATGAATCAATCGTTGATCACCGGTTATCATGGGACTGCATTTCCTCACGATGCTCCACTACCTTGTGGATCAAACCTTTAGGTGAAAGGCTCGGGGTGTGTCCCCCTAAGAAAATGACAAAACCCCCTTCTGAGCATAATTGATCAATTTATTATAATTTTTTTCATTGTTAAAGGTTTAAGAAAAATTTATTAAAGTCATAATTGTTATTTGAATGGTAATATACTACTCAATGTTTGTTAAGAATATTTGAAACAGAAAATTTTATTAATGGATAGACTGTTTCATCTTGAGAATTATTTGTAGGGTTACTCATAGTATGATGATTGAATTTGTCATTACATACATTGTTGCTAAGAGATGAGTATGATGTTGTTGTTGCTGGGGGATGTAATGTGACTTGTTGATAATCTGATAAAATACAATTTGATGGTTGTTCATTATTTACGGTAGTTTGTATATTAGTTAAAGTAATACAATTGGTATTTTCAAATAGATTGGTTGTATTGGTCACATTTATGATGGGCATATCATCGAATTCATAAAGCCTTGCTTGTATATTCAACTTATTTTCTTTCATCTATTAACCAAAACATAAAATGCACATTAAGAAATAAAATGATGATATCAGAAGAGGGTTTGGTGTGTTGGAATCTCGTGAGGCGAGATCGTGGATGCGCACTGTTGAATGTGTCTCACAATAGGACGAAACGGCCGTCCAGTGCTTCCAGGATTTCCCTAGTGGTCTACCTTCAATTCACTCATGATCCCGACTATATAAAATGATAATAGCATAAAATTTATATTGCACTCTGTTTTGTGGAAGTCAGTTTAAATTGTAAATCATATTCGTCAGAGATTGATATCGGTTTGGGTGTCATTAAAAATAAAATGAATCCAGCATCTTTACTTCATACAGTTAACTCTTGACTATTAAAACCACTAGGTTGGTATTTACTCCCGTAATATCGACTTCGATCAATTTGTGATATAGCGTAATGATCACATAATGCAATTAGTGGTGATTGCTTCACATGTGATATCTCTAAACTCCACCATTCATGATTTACTACCAGAACTTTGGGAAGATCTTGAAGTAAGTTACTAGTAAGCTGGCTATTATAATTTAGTTCAAGGGGTTACTTTGTGTCAGTAGACAATACGCGTACCACACATGAAATAAGGTTCTTTCTATCTGTTGGAATCATCAGTGGGCTAGTGGTGAAGGCATTTGTCTTTTATCCAATGAGTCACGGATTCCAACTCTGCTTCACTTCTATGTTAGTATATTTGGTTGTCAAACAAACTAAGTCAAATCTGATTTTACGAAAACGTACTTAGTAAGTGATATACATTATTATGTATCTGTTAATAGTTGATTTTCGTACCAAATGATTATGATGTGCTAAATGTTTATTGTTTTGGTTCCCATACATCTCGAGATGGTGGAAATTTGTAGCTCAGGTGGATGATTTTTATTTCTACCTGAAGTTTGTGCTGATGATGTTTAGAAGAACAGTGAAAGCTCCATGACCAAGTCATCCAGCTCAGAGAACAAAACTTCATCATCTCGTTTCAAAAAAAATAAAGTAGGAGACTTGTAGAAGTATGTGAATGATTCCTCTTTAATTGTCAAAAAATCAGCACTACTCCAGTGCAGTCTATATATATTAAGAAAATATCTCTGTGAAAATTCAGGTGCCTGTTTTGTTCTCTCTATATTTAATGGAGTAGTCTTTGAAACCGCAAGTATTTTGAACTATTTCAGATACACTCTGAATTTTTTATCACTTGCTATTTGTAAAGTCAAAGTCTTCAAAAAATCCATAGTTAACGAATTTCTATCTAATCGAATTAATGGAGCTTTCATAATAATAAATAACATCTACACTCTTGAATGCCAGTTAAAATATTTACTGAAGTTCTCTCTTCCAATCAATTATAGAATCTTGCTTTGTCAGCAAAGTTTCTACCATAGTTAAGTCTTGAAATTTACTGCAACCCGATGTCCCTCAAAAAGATTTATTTGAATTTCTAAGCAGGAATTTGATACATTCCAAAAGACTAGAGATAGGACCTCGAACTAGTTCTTTGTTTTCATGTTGAGAAGACTAAGATGGTCTATTGCCTAGGAACAGGATTTTCAATGTGTTGTGTCATCTGATCTAGGCGGTTTCTGTTGTCATTTTTAGACAATATTCTTATTAAATACTTCGAAAAGAAGTATTGATGGTGTTGTCTATAAAAACAATAAATGATTCATAGCTAAAGTGTTGAGGATGTTAAATCTCCAGAACTTACTTGATAAACGACTTATTTTTGTAATTTTATTTTGAAAATTTGAATTTCCTTGTTTTCGCGCCAAAAGTGCTCCTTTCACCTTCGAGTTGTATTTCGCACTCGGAAATATCTTAAGCGCTATTGGTCCGTTATATCTTTTTAGTGTGCTATTTTGTAATGCTTCCTAAGGACAACTTTGTACTGTATAAATACGTTTAATTTCTTCCTAGTGTGATTGCTTGTACTTCGGCTGCTTACAAAATATATATTTTCCTACTTCATCTTGAACTTCTTCCTCTAGTTAGCGGGACCTGGGACAACGGATTAGATTAGCTTATCGTGTCACTGTGTCATTGACCTTTGTTCGTTTACCGAGAAAATCGTAATTAGCATCATGTGTATCATAAAACATCCAATTAAGAAAATAAAAAACCGCTAAAATTTGTTTTGATATATATGATGAAATTGGCAGTCAATGTCTGTTTTACATGAAAGTTGTTAACTTAAACTTTCTCATATTCTATCCGTTGAACTATTAGCTGAATACATATTAAGTGGATTGACAACATAATACACATACAAATTCTTACCTGGAAGATTGGATCATTTCCATTAAGAGCAAACTTCTGCTCATCATTATTATATGTTATAGAGTTTTGAAATCTATTAGAAAAGTTTATTAAACCATATAATTGTAATTCAACAGTATCTAATGTATTCATTCTATATTTTAGTAGATTCACGTCTTTTATATCATCATTGACCGATTTTATTTCATTCGATAGAGTTTCATAATAATTCATATTTGAATGAAGAGCTGGTTCATTTTGTTGAATGTCAAAGTTATTTAACATTGATAAATGAATAGGAATTCCATTAATGAGATCATTTGATGATATCTTCTTGAATATGGAATTCTCTAAGTAATAATTAGAAAGAAGCATATTATATTGTTCGTTTTCTTTAGTTATATACGGAAAGTTCACAAGTAACATTAATGATTCAGTAGGTTAGATGAATTGATCTAGCCCTCCTATCTCATGCACAAGAACAAATACAGAAGAAGATAACAAATGTAGTAGCAACCTCTGCATCAATAGGTCTCAACATATACAAAGGGAAAAGCAACATACTCAAATATAACACGGAGAACACCAACCCAGTCACATTTGATGGAGAAACTCTGGAAGAGGTGGAAGCATTCACGTACCTAGGAAGCATCAGTGATGAACAAGGAGGATCGGATTCAGATGTAAAGGCGAGAATTGGAAAAGCAAAGACAACATTCCTACAATTGAAGAACATATGGAACTCAAAACAACTATCAACTAATTTCAAAGTGAGAATCTTCTATACGAACGTGAAGACAGTCAGTTATACTGTACGCAGCTGAAACGTGGAGAACTACTACATTCATCGTCAAGAAGGTACAAGTATTTATAAACACTTGTCTACGCAAAATACTCAACATTCACTGACCGAATACTATCAGTAACAGCGTTTTATGGGAAAAGACAAACCAGTAGGTTCCAAATGAAGAGGAAATTAGTTGAACGGAGAATACTAGTGTGCGGCCTATGCTCCTCCAGGAGGAGTAACAGGCGAAAGTAAGTAAGTAATAAGCGTTTTCATGTGAATCGATGGTTTCAGTTAAGACAGTGATGATTGCAAAATGATTCAAGACAATTGTTGGGCTACTGTATCGATGAAAACATTGAATCTATGGAGTCTCTTTATCTTTACTATCCCCTGAACAAAATCCGATGAAATTGTTTGTCCATGCAATTTCAATAGAAACGATGCTAACTGATAAAGAAGCTGAATATTATCACTTGTTAGTACTTCTAAAGCTGTTCTTAACAATCAAAAATAAGATAAAATGACAGTTGGTGAGTATTTTGAATGGGATAAGTTAAATGTAACCTGAATCTTGTAAAATAGGGATTTTCTGACTTCATTTTATCTACATATATGAAAGACATTTTGATTTTTGCTTCAGTTAGAAGATCCGCCGAATATCAAAATAAAACGTCAAAAATGAACTCAGAAAACTACGGTTGATGTTATTCAACACAAAGGTAGTTGTTATGTTCTTAAATATTCGAAAGCTAATCAGAATTAACCACTAGTCTGTGCTATAAAAACAATCATTGCGTTAGGTGGAAATACAGATTCTAATATTACAGTGTTGCACTGCTAATTATGAATACGTATTAGAGGTTCCAGTAGTAGATATTTATGATCAGCATCTTGGTACCCAGACCAAACAGTATACATTTGTTACACGTTATGTGGTGTAAGGTTTAAGGGGTAATGACTTATATTGTCTAGCTTACATAGGTTATTCTAGCTTCCAGAAAAACCGGTTTATTCAATCTTAAGTCACATTTTGACCTTATTTATTAATCGCTTATTAATCTTGACTGTTTTCATGTGAACGTATGTGTGTTTATTGCTTTCTCTATTCATCACATATCTGTAACTTATTTTTGTCTGACTATAAATATTGGGTCTCGCTTTATCAAGACGAGTTGGTTCACTTACCTATTCAGCTTCGTTTCTCTGATTGTCTGTATGGATAAATCAATGCTTGAAATACATTCATCCAACACAACCTGTCTTTGGCTTCTTATTACTACCGTCACATAAACAGGGTTAGTCTAAATAATATATGTAGTTAAGTGGACAATTTCGTATCCATTCGTTCTTTTAGGTTAGAGTCAGATTAACAAGGAACAGACATATTCACATTATGTGATATAAAATTTAGGGTTTAATAGGTAATAATGTATTCTAGTTAATAATTCTCAAACCTACTCAGTGATACAAACTTTCCCAAATGAATGAGCATTGTTCATATTCTCGAATCCTTAAAAAGACATAAAAACACTTTGAAGAGTACCTACATAGTTCCGAGTTACCGATAGGATTCTCATGACGAAATGACATTAACTAGAAACTTACAGTGTTTCAAAGTCATAATAATCAATGAAATTCACTGAAAATTATGAGAGGTGATAACTGATTCGTTTTTCTGTAAAATGTAGTACCATCAGGTTAAGGTTTCCTTTATGATTAAGGGTTTAGAATTAGTATTTGAGAATAGTGTCGATTTTTCTATTATGTATAGTGTGTAGGAACACAATTAGACATTTGATAAATTAAACATTATCATTTCACTTTATGATGGGCGGTAATAATTTTTCGTACAGATTGTTTCATGGTTGATGTATGTGGTGTGTTGAATATTACGCACCAAACTAAACATCAATTCCTCGATTTCTGATTGGTTCATCCCGAATGTATATTTTTAACTTTCATTTATATACATTCTTAAAAATAAAAATTTTCTTCATTACATATTACTATATCAAAAGGGGGTTTTATGGAGATTTTAATAATTTTTATATAGTTGAGATCATGAATCAATTGAAGCTAGACCATCATGGAAAACCTGGAAGGCCGTTTCATTCTATTATAGGACTCCTCAGCAGTGCTCATCCTTTATCCCATCTGTCCAGTTCTTCCAGGTTTTTCATCGTGGTCTAGTTTCAATTGACTTATGATCTCAACTATATAAACATATTACTATAATTAAATTTTTATTAAAACATACCAATCATAAAAGTTTTATTTATTTCATTAAATGATTCAATGCTATTTTCAAGATTATAATTTGTAAAATGAACATCTTTCGAATCCGTATACTTCTTTGGTACTATACTGATTGATGTAATTGTTGAAGTTCCAACATTAGAAGATCTGCTTTGTTTGTTATTATGATGAAGAGTTGATATATTGGTCTTGCATAAAGGATTTTTAATTTGATATTCATATAAATCTTCAATAATATACTTTTGTTTATTTGGTATTATATTCTTTGAACAATTTAGAGATTGTGATGTTTGTTGCCTTAATTGAAAAGAAATATTTAGATGAAAATATAAATATGAGAAGAATTATATACGTTTTATTGAATTATTTGTTATTGTGTAATGGCAACTCGAATTGATGTATGTACGTACGAAGTTCTACGTTGTGACTGATTGACTGTGTTATTTAATTGCTCTGGTACAGCCGAGAGTGGAGAGAGTCTGCTCTCCTTCTCCAAATTCTCTTACATGGTAACACGTATGTAACCTCTGCCAGGCAACTCCTACTAACTACCTTCTCGTGGCGGGGGTGTTGTTTACGAAATTGAGAGGACGAAGAGCGAATATCCGGAGCTTTAACTGGGTTCTAAACACTGCGAGTCCACCTAGGAGAGTTGAAAAACCCTGATTCCAAACCAATGGTGTACATGGGCTCCAGTATCCTGAAGTAACGAATGGCGTATGAACCAACTGTTGATCACTGGCTTCCATGGGACTGCATCTCTTTAGAGTGCTCCACTTCATTGTGGATCAGATCTTTAGGTGAAAGACTCTGGGTGTGGCCTCTTAAGAAAACCACCTGCTTGAGTTTGGGCACCTGGGTAGTATCACAGCCCTCACACAAATGAAATGAGATTTGTGTGGCGCATATGTATCTGGGGCTTCCTTGAACTAATATTTGTGTGCTTAAATAAATAAAAAATGAAATCTGTATGAATCTCTCCTTGACCTATGTTTCTTGCTATTTAACCCATATTGGAAAGAACTGATGTTGCTTGTCTCATCTGGTCTGCGTCTATGGGACATTAACACTCAACTATTTAGGTTGCTAATAATCTCCTAGTTTTAGGATCTACAGATTCCCTACGAACTCCCAGTATCAAACTGAATTCAAGCAGTATTAACCTTATTATTTTTGGTCATTTCAATCTCGATATGAAAATTTTATGGGAGCTTAGTCAAATAGGAAGCCTATTCTTCATTTTTTCATGATAAAATAATTCATATCAGAAAGGGATTTTGTGAATATAATAGTAATTTTAATAGTTGAGGTCTTGAGTCAATTGAAGCTAGACCAACATGGAAAACGTAGAAGCAACTGTTTCGTCCTAATGTGGGACTCCTCAGCAGTGGGGTAGTAACTCACTGAAGACATTGGTAGATGTGTCGCTCAGTTTCCTGGATTAGTTGAAGTTAGACATTAACACCACTGGATGCCGCCTCAGTGGTCTAGACGTTAAGCGCTTGTGCGCGAGACTGACAGGTCCTGGGTTCGAATCTCACGAGGAGGATGGATGCACACTTCTGAAGAGTCCCACAATAGGACAAAACGGTCGTCCAATGCTTCCAGGTTTTCCATGGTGGTCTAGCTTCAATTAACTCATGATCTCAACTATTAAAGATAAAAATAATTGTTAAATATTTCACAAATATGTTGCTTCAATGGTTACTTTTCACAAAGAAAAACCCAACTTATTTATGAGTAAAAATTGTATAATGTTTGAGAACTAATTTGGTAAACACTAGCTGCATGCAACTACCGTAAGTATAATGAGTATTGATTTTAGATGGTTGAAAGCGGTTGCCACGAAATTATGGATCTAATTTTCTTGCCAACCTTGTTGACGATCAACAACTATAATTCAACATATACCCAGAAATTGATGACCATTTTATCCAGCCATCTAGTCACTTGAATTAGAAATCAAATTTAAAAAATTAATTGATGCAAGTTGATAAACACTACAGAGTAGACACCGCTAACATTTAGTATATAATGACTGTTAGTAGTTAATACAACTCCGCCTGTAGCTCCTCTGGGGGTTGCTGCCGGTCCCAAGCCCGGGTAAAGGAAGAGGGTTGAGCATGGGGTTAGCGACCACATCCCGTAGAAAATCAACTCGCTAAAAAAACGCTAACCAGAAAAAATCATTCAAACCATTTAAACTGTGCTCTGGGAGTAGAAGGAATAATTATGACGTCTCATGAGGCCGAGTTCCTTCGGAAGTCATGAGGCCGATGCACATTGTAACAACCAGAGCAACAATATTTATAGGTACATGGAATGTCCGGACAATGTGGGAGACCGGAAGAGTCTTCCAAATTGCTGCAGAAATGAGAAAATACAACCTGGAGGTGCTTGAAATCAGCGAAACGCATTGGACGCAGGTTGGACAACAACGACTATCTTCAGGAGAACTTCTGTTATACTCCGGTCATGAAGAAGAAAATGCCCCACATACACAAGGAGTTGCATTGATGCTGTCCAGAAAAGCACAAAATGCATTTATCGGATGAGAATCTCATGGACCAAGGATCATCAAAGCCTCTTTCAAAACAAAGAGAGAGAAGGCATTAAAATGAACGTCATCCAATGCTATGCGCCTACCAACGACTACGATGAAGACGCTAAAGACCAATTCTACGATAGGCTGCAGTCGATCATCGAGAAGTGCCCAACCAAGGACCTGACCATTCTGATGGGAGATCTCAATGCCAAGGTTGGAAAGGACAACACTGGATACGAAGACGTCATGGGACAACATGGACTGAGAGAAAGGAGCAAAAATGGTGAGAGATTTGCAAACCTATGTGCCTTCAATAAACTGGTCATAGGTGGCATCATATTCTCACACAAAAACATACACAAAGCCACTTGGATTTTACCGGATCACACTACACAGAATCAAATCGACCATATCTGCATCAACAAAAAGTTCAGGAGGACGATGGAGGATGTGAGAACCAGAAGAGGAGATGATATAGCATCCGATCATCATTTGCTGGTCGCCAAGATGAAACTAAAACTCAAGAAGCAGTGGACAACTGTGCGGACAACATCACAAAAGTTTAATACGGCCTTTCTTCGAGATGCTGACAAACTCAACAAATTCAACATAGCCCTCAGCAACAGGTTCCAGGCCTTTCATGATCTACTCAATGGAGAGGGAACTACCATGGAGAGCAACTGGAAAAGTATCAAGGAGGCAATCGTTTCAACATGCCAAGGCACAAGCCGAATACACAGAGGCCAACAAACAAGTGAAGAGGAGCATCAGAACCGACAAACGTAAATATGTGGAAGATTTAGCGATGACAGCAGAAAAGGCTGCAAGAGAGGGAAACATGAGACAACTGTATGATACAACAAAGAAACTTGCTGGAAATTACCGTAAACCAGAAAGATCAGTGAAAAACATGGAAGGCAAAGTAATCACCGACATTGAAGAACAACGAAACAGGTGGGTAGAACACTTCAAGGAACTCTTAAATCGACCAGCTCCACTGAACCCACCCAACATCGAAGCAGCACCCACAGACCTCCCAATCGATGTTGGCCCACCAACAATTGAAGAGATCAGCATGACCATTAGACAAATCAAGAGTGGCAAAGCAGCGGGACCAGACAACATACCGGCAGAGGCACTGAAAGCAAATGTAGCAGCAACTGCCAAGATACTCCACATTCTCTTCAGTAAGATTTGGGACGAAGAACAAGTACCAACAGACTGGAAAAAAGGACTTCTGATCAAAATACCAAAGAAAGGTGATCTTAGCAAGTGCGACAACTACAGGGGCATCACTCTCCTCTCAATACCAGGAAAAGTCTTCAACCGAGTATTGTTAAACAGGATGAAGGATTCCGTGGACGCCCGACTTCGAGATCAACAAGCTGGATTTCGTAAGGATAGATCGTGCACAGATCAAATCGCAACTCTGCGGATCACTGTGGAACAATCAATCGAATGGAATTCATCACTCTACATCAACTTCATCGACTACGAGAAGGCATTCGATAGTGTGGACAGGACGACACTATGGAGGCTTCTTCGAAACTACGGCGTGCCTGAGAGGATAGTCAATATCATACGGAACTCCTATGATGGACTAAACTGCCAAATCGTCCACGGAGGATAACTCACCGACGCATTCGAGGTAAAGACCGGTGTTAGGCAAGGTTGCTTACTCTCACCCTTTCTCTTTCTCCTGGTAATCGACTGGATCATGGAGACGTCAACGACTGGAGGAAAGCACGGGATTCAGTGGACAGGCAGGATGCAGCTTGACGATCTAGATTTCGCAGATGATCTGGCTCTTCTATCACAAACGCAACAACAAATGCAGGAGAAAACAACCAGTGTAGCAGCAGCCTCAGCAGCAGTAGGTCTCAATATAAACAAAGGGAAAAGCAAGACTCTCCGATACAATACAATATGCACCAATCCAATTACACTTGACGGAGAAGCTTTGGAGGATGTGGAAACCTTTACATATCTGGGCAGCATCATCGACGAACACGGTGGATCAGATGCAGATGTGAGGGCGCATATCGGCAAAGCAAGAGCAGCATACTTACAACTGAAAAACATCTGGAGCTCAAAACAATTGTCAACCAACACCAAGGTTAGAATTTTCAATACAAATGTCAAGACAGTTCTACTGTATGGGGCGGAGACGTGGAAAACTACGAAAGCCATTATCCAGAAGATACAAGTGTTCATCAACAGCTGTCTACGCAAAATACTTCGGATCAGATGGCCAGACACTATCAGCTAAAAGTTACTGAGGGAGACAACAAACCAGATTCCATCCAGTGGAGGAAGAAATCAGGAAGAAGCGCTGGAAGTGGATAGGGCACACTTTGAGGAAATCACCCAATTGCGTCACAAGACAAGCCCTCACATGGAATCCTGAAGGTCAAAGGAGAAGAGGAAGACCAAAGAACACATTACGCCGAGAAATAGAGACAGACATGAGAAGAATGAACAAGAACTGGATAGAACTAGAAAAGAAGGCCCAGGACAGAGTGGGTTGGAGAATGCTGGTCGTTGGCCTATACTCCATTGGGAGTAACAGGCGTAAGGAAGTAAGTAAGTAAGTAGTTAATACATTATTTCGGGTTGAACCAATGAATTTCGATTTTTGCTTCACAATATTTCCCATCATTAGAATTACTACTTAAGGGTCAGTTTAGTGCAATTTTCAAACATTTATTCAAAGTCTAGAGTGTTATGTTTTAAGCTATAATAATCACTTATGTCTTAAGTATTGCTTACTGGTTAACGTATTTTTAGCAAGGTTGTTTCCAATGAGATGTCGTTGCTGACCTCATGCTCAACCCTCCTCCTTCATCTGGGCTTGAGACCGGAAGTCACCTTATATGAACAACAGGCGTAGTTTTTAGTAAGTATAGTAGGGTAATATTAATCTTAATATTGAATATCATCTCTCTGTATGGTTGTTTAAGTGTAATTAATCAAGTCAGTTCACAAGTAATAACTAACATCACAGAAGGACAGAAGGTACCAAATACTGGAAGCAAAATAAAGAACAAATTATATACATTATCAATTTCAACATCTTATTATCGTGACGCATGGTGTTTAAGAGTTTATAATGATTCATACTCCTTCTATCATGAGTCCGACCACTAGCGGGAAAAAACAGAGAGTGGGTAGAAAGTTTATTTGACCAAAAAGATCCATCTTATGTGCACTTATATATATATATATATGCCTTTAGTGGCCCTATATGTGACTCCAGTTAGATCAGAAGACTGATCGTTATCGAATGATTGCTATCGAAATATATATCCTGACTACCCTCGTATATGATTATCGACTTAACTCGCGTTAGTGAATAACGGAATAAAAATAAGTGAAATACGGGAACAAAGTTTTAAATACGTATATTCTGTAAAATCATTAATCAGAACAGACAATCAGAGGGACGGAGCGAAGAAAGCGAAACGGATTAGATAGCGCAAGTTAACCAACTCCATGTAACCAAGCTTGAATCTATATTTATAGTCGAACATAGGTAAGTTACAGACACATAATGAGTAAGGTAAGTAATTAGAACACATACGATCATATAAAAATAGTCAGCATTAATAAGCCAATAAGTGACAGGTTAAAAAGGTGACTTGAGAAGAATGAATAGATTGATCTGTCCAGAGGCTAGAATAACTTATGTGTGCTTGACCTAGTACTCGCTCCTATACACTTCAGAAATTAAACCCATCAGTGGTTTTTCACATCGTTTGCGAATGAAAATCATCACTTGGACAAACAGATGCACTTATCACCTGGCTATATGTAAATAGCTCACTGCAACGTTGTCAACTTATCTTACTTTCGATTGAGCTCATAATGAATTGACAAAATTAAGGATTTATCATACTTCTCGACGAATAATTAAGTTGTTGTACAGTTGTATATATTTCTTTATTATTTTTTGTCTCCGAAAAATGTATCATATTTCGAACTTGGAAAATTCTAATTCCTCACTTCTCTGGGTGATATTCTTTTACATAGTATTTATTGTTTACCTTTGGAGACTAATTGGTCTGAAAAATTGTCTTAGCTATGAACTGACGCACACTAAAAAGTCAGGTAGTATTATACAGTTATTTTGTTCTAGTCTTTAGATCCATCCAATTAGCTCTCCTGAGACCGAAGCCAAGATCTCCCCATCACGCGGCAAGCAGGATACTTTTTTGATCACTTAATTAGGATTATAACGTTCACAGTGCTAACTTCAACGATAAGGTTGTAACCACTTAACTTAATCCATAATCTTTGTTGTTCTAACAAAATGGTTGAAAATTGATGTGGTCACCATTAAACTTGACGGATCTATGTTTAATTCCATGTCACGTTGTGAGTGCATACTACTCTGAGGAGTCCTCGACAACGGTGGCATCAGGCCTTGATGTTTAGTACCTCCCCGACTTCTATCAGTTTGTAGTGAAGGCTTTTTTCTAAATATACGGGGTTTATGGAAACTCTCACAATCTTACAGAATACATCACAAGCTCTTCAGGAGTCCCATATAAGGAAGAAATAGCTTCCTGGTTCTGAATAAAAATATAATTATGATCAGTTCGTGATGTTTATCCATACAATTATTTTTGTTCATGTATACGATACAGATAATTTGTAGACGAAGCCAGTAGATGGGATTTTCTATATTTCATTAAATTCCTTAAGTGTACCAAAGAGAAATCGAAAGGTAAGAATCTTATTTCACTCAGAAATATTATCCTTGTAAACAGTGAGAGTATAAGTTATGGACGACCTTCGAGTGACGCCAAAGTAGCCTTGAAAGTGTCCACCTAATTACTACGGCTGAATGAGGGTTATAAACCAATGTGAGGGATTAGAATTGTGATTCACAGTTGATGGTTAAGGTGAAGAGTTAGATCTAGGGTTCTCATTACAAACTGACATCAGCTATAATGCTAAAACTTTATTTATTGAAATGGATCAGTGAATTTCATGCCAAAATCTGAGAACTGTTATTTTATTTCTGAGCGGTTCGTTCATAAATTATAGTCTCACCCCTTTCTCCTTTAAAGTACTAAACTTGTAATTAACAATGAATAAAATTAATTACCTTCTTAATGCAACTTGTGCAGCCATAACACGTTGACGTTCAACAACAAGTAAACAAGCAGCACAATGACAATTTTTCCAACGACAGTGCTTTTTATGACCTTTTAATGATGAAATCACTCCATGATTACGACAACGTGTACATTTAGGCACACGAAATGAAGAACAGGAATTAGTATTATACTTAAATTCTGTATTATCCAGTTTGAACTACAAAAAGAAAGATTATTAGATGAATAAATCTAATCTCTGATTCACTGCCACCTCCGAGACAAATATTTTCATTGAACAAGAAACCATCATCTCATAAATAATATGAATTTTATAAAAGATGGTAATGGAACTCTCATTCTAGTATAGAATTTCTTGTCATTTTAACTAGGGAGTTCATTCTAAAGATCGAGGGTTCTGAGTTCCATTCCCGGGTATGGAGTTGTGGATGTACACTGCTGAGGATTCCTATACTAGAACGAGACGACTGTCCATTACTTCCAGATTTTCAATGATGTCTTAACTTAAATCGGTTCAGGATTTCAATAAAAATTTATCTAGTTGCCTTTATTTAGAACTACTATGAGCTTATGTAGTATTTTATTAGGTACATTAAGATCCTATCAGTATACCTGTCTTCCCATTATCAACTTGTACTTTTAACTATTATGTGCAATGACGTATTCTATTTCATTATGATTATTGACTCAAATTGCTTTGATTAGGTTAACATTTTCGTATAAATATTCATGTATTATTAGAGTAAAGCCTGATGACGTTCTGATTAAAAACAAATGTTCGCTTACATGTGTTGTTCTAACCTGAAGATCTCTCAGTAAATGTGATACGGTTAAATTATTAAGTCCAATTTTCATTATAAATATCTACAGTTTATAGGATATCATAATTTTCATCAGTGAGTTAATGTCGTAAACTTCCCAGTGTACGTATTCCTATCGAAGTTTACGTTAATATGTATTATCAGAAGGGGTTTATTGTAGAGATTTTAGTAATTTTATAGTTGAAATCATGAGTCAATTGTAGCTAGACCACCATGGAAAACCTGGAATCACTCGATGGCCATTTCGTCCTATTGTCGGACTCCACGATTCCGCCTCGTGAGACTCGAACTTAGGACCTATTGGTCTTGCTCGCGAGCGCTTAATCTCTAAACCACTAAGCCGGCTGGCATCCAACAGTGTTAATGGCTAGCTTCTACCCATTGGGATATAACAAAAATAATTTACTTATCATTAATAGTTTCTATAATTTCAAATTTAATATTGTAATTTAATTTACAACGTATAATGTTAAAAAGGCAGCTAAAACTTAAGGACACAGAAACAAATGATTGACTGATAAAAATATCTTTGAATAGTTGAATTCATGAGTCATTTAACTTTAAACCACCGTGGAAAAAACTATTAAATTACTAAAATCTCCACAAAACCCTCTTTTGATAATAATTTATCATGTGCTCACTAGTTACTGACTTCAAGAAGTATTTCCTGAAGTTCTAGTGAGAAGCAGTGACCAGTAGAGTTCATCCGGGTCTGTTATGAGGCAGTTACAGACAATGATGGACGACGGCACAATATTATGGATTGATTGAGGTTAGGCATTAACACCACTGGATGCCGGTCTAATGGTCTAGAAGTTAAGTGTTCGCATGCAAGACCTCTACGTTCTGGGTTCGGATCCCGTGTGTGAGATCGTAGATGTGCGCTGATGAGGTGCTCTACACTAGAATGAAACGGCCGTTCAATGCTTCCACGTTTTCCATGATGCTCTAGCTTTAATTGACTCATGAATTCAACTATTAAATTACTAAATTAAATATTATTATCAAAAGTCAATTTTATACATTATAATGTCTTATCAACAACAACAAAAAACAAGATTATACTTGACTTACAGAATGTATACAATTATAACTTTATTGATACGGTATAGTATATTTGTAACTAATTAAATAGTAACAAAATGAAAGTAAACTGTCTTTAAATATGTCCCCTATGTATTCATTTAGGTTAAAGTAATTTCTTTCTATCTACAACTTTCCCAATGTGTGTTTAGATATATGTGTCAGTGGGTGGGTGTTGTTTTTTGTTTTGTTTTTTTTTACATCTAGTCACAGTATTTCCCATTGGATAGTGGTTAAAATTTAAATAATTCAACCTTGTTTTATGTAGTTGAAATCATGAGTCAAATGAGGCTAGATCACCATGGAAAACCTGAAAACACTTAACGGCTGTTTCGTCCTATCGTGGGGGATTCCTCAGCACTGTACAATGGACTCATGATTTCAGCTATATAGAATTATTAAAAATCGTCTCAAAATCCCTTTCTGATAATTCAACCTTGTTTCGGTATATTTGAAGAAATGTATTATACCAAAAAGGTGATTCTCATCATAAAAGTATTATTTGTCGAACAATTGAAACTAGGAAATGTCAGGTGGCAGCTTTATCCTGAGTAAATAGTTGTCAATAGTGTACATTTATTTTTTTTCACATAGAGTCGAATTCATAATATATATAGTGGGTTTACATCACTTAGCAACGCTTCGACATGCTCAAACCCGAAAACCACTAATTTTCTGAATGTACATTTGTTACCATAGTGTTTGAGGTTTTGGATTTTTTTTGTTGATTAATTGATTATATCTGTCAACTCCATGTACACACAATCTAGCATAAATTGTTTACAATTCATAGTGAATTTGATTACCGATAAACTCATCGGAGAGCATCATTGTGTTCCACCTATCATCCTGTATCTGGACGGCCGTTTCGTCCTACTGTGATACTCCTCAGCGGTATGCATCCATGATCTTCCCCCCCGCGAGATTTCTAACTATGAAAATACTGAAATCTTCACAAGACCCCTTCTGATTATCATTTTTATGTTCCAATAAACGAAATATTGAAGTTGAGTACATACTTCCATGATTCATAAAAGCTGGTACTAAATCTATCTATATTGTCATTCTTTCTCATTTAATGAGCTTAGGATTTACTACGTCAAGTTCCTAGTGGTCTATCAAAAGGTGCGAGATTGGGCCTACTCTATATAGCTGAAACATTTCGTATCAATCCAAATAAACACAACTTATAGATACTAAAAATACATGTATCCGTCCTATTTACGCTGATCTACACCTTGGTTTCAGCTGTGTTCCTCCTCTTCGTTATGATGTTCACTCTCTAATTTCACATTCATCCTTATTATTTTACTTGATACTCTCACTAATAATAACAATTATCATTATTATCATAACTAAGACACAACGATTCCTACGTTGTATCAACTTGTTGTACATAAGATTATATTTTATTGATTAGAATTCATCACCGTTATCAGGGGTCAATGTTTTTCTACCTGTTATGAATGACCTTTTACCAACATTAACTCTGAAGAAATGGCTTATATTAAGTCACGAAACGCCAAAAATACAATTTTTCTACTTATTGGGATATCGCAAGAAATAAATTGAGTATTACCAATGACATTAGTTTGTTTTGCTACTCGACTTAAAACTCTGTTTTTGAACATTCAATGAGAATTGTTGAATTACTTTAAACCTATAACTAGAATTATTTAATAAGAGTTATATGATAGTGTGAGAGTGATTATTTTCACTTCAGATGACGGTCGAAGGTAGTCGACAGGATACCATAAACCTAAGTTTTATGCTATTTATCACTCATCAGCAAGGATTCGACCTGCACTAAGAAGGACGTGATATACATTGATCACCACTCAGTGATTTTTTAGATGTAACCTATGAAATCAATTACTTACTTCCTTACGCCTGTTACTCTCAATGGAGTATAGGCCGCCGATCAGCTTTCTCCAACCCACTCTGTCCTGGGCCTTCTTTTCTAGTTCTATCCAGTTCTTGTTCATTCTTCTCATGTCTGTCTCTATTTCTCGGCGTAATGTGTTCTTTGGTCTTCCTCTTCTCCTTTGACCTTCAGGATTCCATGTGAGGGCTTGTCTTGTGACGCAATTGGGTGATTTCCTCAAAGTGTGCCCTATCCACTTCCAGCGCTTCTTCCTGATTTCTTCCTCCACTGGATGGAATCTGGTTTGTTGTCTCCCTCAGTAACTTTTAGCTGATAGTGTCTGGCCATCTGATCCGAAGTATTTTGCGTAGACAGCTGTTGATGAACACTTGTATCTTCTGGATAATGGCTTTCGTAGTTTTCCACGTCTCCGCCCCATACAGTAGAACTGTCTTGACATTTGTATTGAAAATTCTAACCTTGGTGTTGGTTGACAATTGTTTTGAGCTCCAGATGTTTTTCAGTTGTAAGTATGCTGCTCTTGCTTTGCCGATATGCGCCCTCACATCTGCATCTGATCCACCGTGTTCATCAATGATGCTGCCCAGATATGTAAAGGTTTCCACATCCTCCAAAGCTTCTCCGTCAAGTGTAATTGGATTGGTGCATATTGTATTGTATCGGAGAGTCTTGCTTTTCCCTTTGTTTATATTGAGACCTACTGCTGCTGAGGCTGCTGCTACACTGGTTGTTTTCTCCTGCATTTGTTGTTGCGTTTGTGATAGAAGAGCCAGATCATCTGCGAAGTCTTGATCGTCAAGCTGCATCCTGCCTGTCCACTGAATCCCGTGCTTTCCTCCAGTCGTTGACGTCTTCATGATCCAGTCGATTACCAGGAGAAAGAGAAAGGGTGAGAGTAAGCAACCTTGCCTAACACCGGTCTTTACTTGAAACTATGAAATCAATAGTCAAATAATTTTATTATCAGCAAGTCGTTCAATAAGGAAGAATTTCTGTGAACAGTTATGATGAAAAAACGTGTTAACAACAGATCATTTTGATGAAGTTTTGTTCTCCAAGTTGAATGGTTTTGTCGTGGAACTTTCATCGTTATTCTGAACGACATTATCAGCACACAATTCAGGTAGACTTGTACCTCGATCAAAATCATCTATCTAAGCTACAAATCTTCTCCACCAAGAGAAATTAATTTCATTTATAAAATTTGCCAACGAATCTCTTTTCTGATTTCAATTTTAAAGTTTAAGAAACATCTCCCTTTTTATCTTAGCATTTCTATTGTTGGAAAGATTGTTTTAATTTTATACTTCAACTATATAAAAGTCAATGTATTTTGTCAAAATACATTTGACCTAGTACTTATTCATATAACAAATACTGATGAGAATATCAATAGTATAGACGAAACATTCATTAATTGTTTTAAGTCTAAGAAGCTTTCGGAAAATCACCAGTCTTTTTAACTCCATACTCACGCCTGTTACCCCCCATAGAGGAGCATATGCCGCTCACCAGTTCTGGTTAGTGTTTTCTTATCGAGTTATTTTTCTACAGGATGGGGTCGCTAACCTCATGCCTAACCCTCTTCCTTTACCCGGACTTGGGGCCGGCAGTAACTCTATAAGAGCTATAAGCGGAGTTAATCTTTTTAACCTTAACTACAAAATCTGATTTCATCATTAAAAGTAATAAGACTGACAGAATGTTTAATTTAACGTCTACAGTGTAATATAATTTGAATTCATTCTCATTCAGTTGTTTATGTATCGAAAAGAGATTTTGGAGGTCTGTATACTATTTATACATTGCTTCCAAGTTTATATTTATGGCGAGACTTTAATTTATGGACGACCTTCGAACGAATCTTGGATGACCTTGAGAAATATTAGCCAATCTGTAAACAGTCAGCATGGGGTAAAAATATATTATACAAAACCAAATAATTAAAGTGGATACACTTATTTTAAATGTTCCATAAACTTGTCAAGGTTAGAAAGAGGTTCAAGGGTGCTAAAATCCTAATGCTTACGATAGAGGAACTCATCCATATGACTCTATAATAGTCG